TACGCATGTGTGCGTTGGATATAATGTTCCCTCCCCAGGGATCCTCTTTCCACTCCTGTGCACATCACATCTACGATTATGGGATTTATTAGCTGCTCCTTTGTTTATTATTGTCTCCCCTTTTAGAACATAAGCCCCATGAAGGCATGGACCTGGTCTGTCTTGTTCGCTGAGCACCTGCACAGAGCAGGGGCCCGACAGTTCCAAAGAAGTGCTGAGGAGCTCCAGCTGATCACTTTCTAATGAAGTTGGCTTTTTTCTGCTGGGGAGAATCTACCCCCTGTGATGTCTTCGATTACATAGAGCTTCAGGGCCTTCCCTCCTCTGGGAACGGTGGCCTAACCAGCAAGCAAACTTGTAGACACTCCAGCACTGTGAGTCTAGCATTGGGGGGGAGGGGGAGACTTGGAGTGACAGGTTTACCAGGGGAGTAAAGCCATCATTAAGCCTAGATACCTTGGGAGTCAATGTTTAAAAAAACCTCCCTGATAATTGGAGATTGGCTAATCTCTTTCTATAATTAGGAGGGCCTGGAGGCTGGGGATGTTCTTTTTCCCCAAGCTCTGTTTCTAAGGTTTAGAAAGGGGAAATGACTTAGGAAGCCCAGAAGCTAGTGAATGTCTTTGCAGCAGCTGACCCCAAGGAAAAGTAGAAAGTGAAAAGCATTTGGGACATGTCCTTTCCAAGCAGATGCACATCTCCTGAAAAGTATGAATTTCATTATTTTTTAATTTTTTTTTTGAGACAGAGTCTCACTACATTGCCTTTGGTAGAGTGCTGTGGAGTCACAGCTCCCAGCAATCTCCAACTCTTGGGCTTAAGGAATTCTCTTGCATCAGCCTTCCAAGTTGCTGCGACTACAGGCGCCCACCACAATGCCTGGCCATTTCTTTGTTGCAGTTGTCATTGTTGTTTTAGCTGGCCCAGGCGGAGTTTGAACCTGCCAACCTCGGTGTGTGTGTCTGGCGCCATAACTACTGTGCTAAGGGCACTGAGCCAGTGAATTTCTTTATTAATAGCAACAGTATTTCTGGCAAATTTTGTGGAATCTAAAAACTGTACAGCTCCATGAGATTTCATGATCTAAACACACCTGTGAGACAGGGACCCCCAGGAGTTCCTCTCATAGCCCCTCCCAGCACTATCCCACCTCCTGAGGGTAACTATCATCTTGACTTTTAGCATCATAAAATGCTTTGGGCCTTAATACCAGGTTCTCAAATTCAAATGCTCCCAGGGACTGGGCAGGATCCTTAATGCTGGGAGGGGCCCTTCTGCCCTATACAGGTGTGGCAATTATAGTCAGGCAAAAACGCAGGCCCAGTGTCGGTAGGTAATTTGATTATGCAAGAGAAATTGGAAGTCTAGATTTTTAAGTGAAATCTCATGATTCTGGAATGTTGGCAACTCATGAAAATTTAACAGTGTGTTAAATTTTGGCCTCTACCCAGGCCAAAAAAAATATATTATGGGCCAAATTTGACCTCCAGGGTGCCAGTGGGGGTGAGCTGGAGGGGTCCCCAGGTGTGTGGGAAGACAGGTGTGAAAACAGACATCCCAGTTTGGAGTGATACACTGACATGGAAGGTCAGTGTAAGGGTGACTGACTGCAAGATGTGTGTGTGTGGGGAGAAGTGGTGGTGATCAGGGAAGCACTACAGTGGCAGTGAGGACATGAGGGTAAGGAGGATTTTCTAGGCAGAGGCCTGGACTCAGCCTGAGCACCGGGAGGTTGGGAACTGCAAAGTGATCTGGTATGGCCTTGGCAGGAGCTGGATAAGTGAGCAGAAGCTAGTCACTGGGCCCTGGAAAGGCTGACTCAGGCGGTAAGGCTTGGTCCTGCTGGGCCACCAGCAGTGGAGCCTCAGAGGAGGTTAAGTAGAGGCATGTGTGGCTGCTATCTCTGGCAACAAGGGCAGGGTGGGGTCGCAAGGATACAGGAGGCTGCTTGGCCTTGGCCCATAGTTGCCGGCCACAGATAGGCAGCTAGAGAGTTAGGCCCACATTTCTGGCCTCCTAAACAAATCCTAAACCCCAACAGCCTTGTCCACACCCAAGGTAATTCCAACTATATCACTATTAGGGATTAAAAAATCCCCATCCTATCTAAGGGTCTTGCTGATGAGTTTTGCTGCAGGAAGGGCTTATAGACACCCAAAGTGGCTCCTCTCTCGGTGTAATCTGCCTCATCTCCAGCTCGAGTGTAAGGCCCAGCACAAAATCGGTCAGAACTCTGGTTTTCTCTGCTCCCCACAGATCTGCTTCAGCCTCAGCCAATAGCAGCCCTGACCCTGCAGGAGCTCCTGCTGAACACCTGAGTCCTATTTCTCTCCCACCCCACAGTCTATCATTGCGCAAACCCTGCTGGATTGTCTGTAATGCCAACCCAGAGTCTCCACTGTCACTGCCCCCACCCTGGTCTGAGCCCTGGCATCACACACCAGGATCCATTTGCCAAGTCCCCTGGCCTCTGCCATCCTTCCCACAGTAGCTGGGTGGTCCACTGGACCCTAAGCCAGATGTGGCTCCCTCTGCCCAGGCTCTTTGCCGAGTTTTGCCTGGCTCAGAGTGAGTGCCCGAGTCCTGGTAGGGGGTCATGCAGATTGGTGATCTGTCTCACCAGCACCCCTCGCTCACTCAGCTCTGGCCTGGGCCATGCTGCACCTCAGTTTTCCCCCATGGGCTGGGCAGGGCTTCTGCACTGGCTGTCTTCCGGCCGGAACTTTCTTCTCCTGCATATCCTTGTGGCTCCCTGAACCCCTGCACACTCGGCAGTGTTCCTTCTTATTAATGTTCGTGTGCTCTCTTCTCCCCAGTGCCCGTGTTCAGTGGAGCTCAGCGAGTGGACCAGTGTCTTAGACAGACATTTCAAATCTCCCTGTGCTCCTTCTGGATGTTCCTCAGGAGAGTATGGTCTGAGAGACGGAGTTCACCTGGGCTCTCCTGGCTCTGGATGCCCCAGACAGGGTTCCTAGCCAGTAGGTCCCAATTCCCACCCATGTACACACCAACCATAGTCTCGAGCCCAGAGAAGATCTGTAAAGCACACAGCTGTAAAGAGGGGCTGGTTTTCCATTGTGTAAACTCAGGATGAATATTATACACCTGTTTAAAAGTGCTACTAGATTCCTTGTAACTGTTTGGCCATGATAGATTTGCTTTGTCAACCAATGTCCTCAATGCCGATGTCCCAATAGTTGGGAACCTTTTGTCTAGTGCCAGAGAAGGGCTAATAAGTGAGTCTGGAGATCCCTGGCCATCCTTTATGCTGGTTCCTGCCAGGGACATTGTCCACAATGCCTTACTTTCACCTACCCCCTGGCAGAGTAGCAGCAGCTGACAGTGAGCTTGGGTTCACCCCCAGGAATAAGGCAATTTATAACCCGTTAACCTTGAATTCTGTAAGGCCTGCCACTCAGCAAGCCAGGGCTTGTTGGAACAGTTCTCAGCTTGGGAAGCATTCAAATTAGCTCTTGCAATCAACATGCAATTAATTGTTGCACACCCTGGGCATTTGGGCACTCTGTGCTGTACAGTGTGAGGGGAGTTCAGTGAATATGGTCATCTCAGAGCAGAGATGGGGATGGGGAATGCACAAATTTCCCATTTTGCACATGAGAGTCTGAAAAGGTTTGTGTATGTTTGGTCAACTGATCTTGTTCAGGTGTTAATTATCGTGGCTGGCATTTATTGAATTTACTATGTGATAAATGTGTGTTATAGGTGTGATCTCATTACAGCAGCTCAATGTGATATGCCTCTGAGGCATATTCCTCCCCTTTTTATGGTTATGGAAATTGCCGCTCAGAGAAGGTAAGTGACTTGTTCAAAGCCACACAGCTGGTCAAACCCTGGATTTGCCTTATGCCAAAGTCAGTAACACCTAAGCACTCTGCTCCTACCCAACTTTGAAGGTTTCAGGTTGGCAGCACCTGCATAGTACCTCTGCCTGGTGGCCACAACTTTGTGTCTGGCATCAGACCTCTTGGGTTATGCTGTTTAGGATCTTGGAGGGTCGGAGGGCATGATCTGTAAGCAGAAGCCCTATTTGTCCTACCCAAATATTTGGCCCTTGTGTGGGTTTACTCTGTGCCACTTTTCCTGCTGTTCTGGGACGTGAGCGGGAACCCAGATGACAGCTCTTTCCAGACTCTGGGAGTGACCCCCAGGGGGCAGACAAACCTTTCAAACTCTATTCCCTGCAGGATAGCCCCTTACCAGTCCTGCAACTCCACTCCAGGTCCATCATGCAGTGTCCCTTCCCTCGGGCCTTGTAGCTACTGGTTGGGGGCGCCCAAAGGCTCTGCAGCTCAGACCCTTTGGAGAACTCCTTTCTGGCTTAGGTCTCCTTTCTGGGACCCCTTGTGCGGGAGGGTTCTGCTGGTCCGTGTCCCTCCTGGGGAGCTCCAGAAGACTCCGCCCCAGGCTTCCATGGGCAGGGCCTCTTTGGGTCTCATGTGAGGTGACCCCTCTAGGCCGCTTTTGTTGCCCCAAGTCGTCTGTGGGGATCCTTTTCTGGGAGCGCCTTGCCCAGCATTCTTCTCGTTTCTCAGACCCTGCACTCAGGCGTAGGTCTCTGTCGGGGCGTCCCTTCTTTCCCAGTTCCCCACCCGCGCCCAGTGCGGAGCGCCCCCGCTCCCGTGCGGGCGGGCGCCGGAACAGTGTCGCTGGCCGCCTGCAGGTGTCTCCCCACGGAGGGGCGCGCGTCCCTGCGCCGTGGCCGCT